TGGGGGAGTTGAAAATTACATGCAGATTTGTAACTCACAGGAGTCTGTGGCTCAGTCCCTGCATTGTTCAAGAGTCAGCTGTATTTAGGGGCGCCTGGGTGGCTCAGTTGGTTGAGTGACTGCCTTCAGCTCGGGGTGTGATTCTGGAGTATCAGGATCAAGTCCCACATCGTGCTCCCTGCTCAGCAGGGAGTCTGCTTCTCATGCTGACCTCTCCTCTCTCATGTTCTCTCTCTCTCTCTCTCAAGTAAATAAATAAAATCTTGAGGAAAAAAAAGAGTCAGCTGTATTTAGATCCATATGCAGACACACACACACACACACATCACCTTTTATATATAGTATCCATCAGTATCATATTCACTTTTTTAAAATATAGTATACACTTTAAAACATATGGAATTAATCTGCTTTCCCTTCGTGGAAAACACAGGAGAGGCAGGCAACATTCCATCTACTCCCCACTTTTCCAACAGTCATTCCAACAGCCATTTTAAGTTACAAAGAGTCAAAGCTGGGATCTCATGGCATCAGCCTCCTATGGATTGCTTTCTAGCTTTCTGTGTCCCTGGTTTTCAGAACCCCCTCACTATCATCAGCAGGTAAGACTCACATTAGTGAAATTACAGTTATAATTTCCATGCTTGAAATTGACATTGAAGGCCATAATTTCTAAGTCAGGGAGGCTATATATTAACAGCTATGCTTAGTTTTGATCTAATATGGTGGGTTTTGTAATGGTCTCCCAAATTCGTCCACATCTTTCTCTTCCCTTTTCAATGTTCCACAGCCAGGATGTGTTTCCCTCCTCCATGAATATTTTGGCTTCCTGTCCCAATTCCTTTATATTCTCTTTGCTTCAAAACATCTCTTTCAATGATTTACATTTGTTCTACATATCCTTTACTCCAACTCTTTATCTAGCACTCCTGCTATGAAGTCCATTCTGACACTAAGAACATGAAAGCCTTCTTTTAGAAATTCCTGAACCACAGGTCACATAATTTTTTTGAGGAAAGTGTGCACTATGCACTTAACTGATTTACAAATGGGGAAAGCACAGAAAGGAAATTATAAGATTTGTTCTAGGCCATAGATAAAGTTAGTGGTAAGATTGGGACTGTGTCCTCAGACTTTGAGACTAGTTAGTGCCTAAAACCTAAAAACAAAAGTACCTAAGATTAGAAAGACTTTATTTTTTTAAGATTTCTTTATTTAAGTAATCTCTATACCCAACGTGGGGCTCCAACTCATGACGCTGAGATCAAGAGTCACATGCTCTACTGATTGAGCCAGCCAGGTGACCCTAGAATGACTTTAATTAGTTTTTACTTTCTTAACTTTTTATTGAAGTATACGATTTGCATAGGATTTTGAATTTAGGTTTTCAAGGGCTTCGTGAAACAGAGAAGCCTAGAAATCTGTTAGAAGTAAGACTAATGACCTTGAGGGATGCCTGGGTGGCTCAGTTGGTTGGACGACTGCCTTCAGCTCAGGTCATGATCCTGGAGTCCCAGGATCGAGGCCCGCATCGGGCTCCCAGCTCCACGGGGAGTCTGCTTCTCTCTCTGACCTTCTCCTAGCTCATGCTCTCTCTCACTGTCTCTCTCTCAAATAAATAAATAAGATCTTAAAAAAAAAAAGACTAATGACCTTGAGACATTACTCAATCCCCCCCATTCCCTTTTTATTTTATTTTTAAAAGATTTTATTTATTTATTTGCCAGATAGAGATCACAAGTAGGCAGAGAGGCAGGCGGGTTGGGGGTGGGGGAGCAGTCTCCCTGCTGAGCAGAGAGCCCAATGCTGGGCTCGATTCCAGAACCCTGGGATCATGACCGGAGCCGAAGGCAGAGGCTTTAACCTGCTGAGCCACCCAGGTGCCCTCCTTTTTTATTTTAAAGACTTACTTGTTTGAGAGAGAGAGAGAGAGAGAGAACACATGCATGCACACATAGGAGAGGGGCGGAGGGAGAGTCTCTCAAGGGGACTCTTAAGCTGACTTGGGGCTCGATCTCATGACCCTGAGATCATGACCTGAGCCAGTCCTTAAATGACTGTGCCATCCAGTGGAGGTGTACACTGCACCCCCACCTCCTTTTGAAGCATCATGGAGGGAAATGAATTTCCAAGAGACCTGTGTTTTTCATTTCAGTTATTCCAGAAAAGACTGCCTGGAGCATATCTGATCGCTAGCCAGTCTTCTTTTTGAGAACTGTACCTACAACCTTCTGTTCCCCAATCCAAATCTATAGGTAGTAGTTCTGGGTCCATTCCTGACTTGCTGCATTGGAAAGTCCTGGGTCATGGGACTAGGGATAGGGCCAAGTAAGTTCCTTTTTTCCTCAGCAGGGGGACATCTACTGCTGTTATGAAGTCTATGGCCTTTGTGATTGTTATTTGTTGTTGTTTTTTTTTAAAGTAGGCTCCTTGACCAATGCAGGGTTTGAACTCACAACCCTGAGATTGAGAGTTGCATGCTCTACTGACTGAATCAGGCAGCTGCCTCTAGGTTTTCTTTTTGTCTTTTAAACCATTTCTGGGATTTTATTTAAAAAAAAAAAAAAAAGGTTACCCCTAGTCTTAGGTTCATATAATTTCTCTGTGGGACACATACCTTGTACATAAAGAAAAGGCTGCAGACTGGGTAAAATATTTTCTTGGTCAATGGGTTAGCTGGGTCAATAACTGAGATGTACTTGGATCAGGGCTCTGTTCCGACAGTTATAAAGGAATTAGAAGTACGTCTTAAAAAGAAATCCATATAAAACAAATTAAAAGTATAATTACAGGGGGGCACCCGGGTGGCTCAGTCGGTTAAGTGTCTCCCTCCAGCTCAGGTCATGATCCCAGGATCCTGGGATCAAGCCCCACATGGGGCTCCCTGCTCAGCAGGGAGCCAGCTTTTCCTTCTCCTTCCGCCTTCTATTTCCCCAGCTTGTGCTTTCTCTCTCTGTCAAACGAATAAATAAAATCTTTTTAAAAAAAGTATAATTACAGAACAAGTACAAATAAATCAGCCAAAACCAGTACTTGGGAACCGACAGGAAAGGATTGGAGCTGAGTAGAGTTAGTCAATGAGGACTTTCTGGAAAAGGTGAGTTTTGAAGGAAGGGGATAAGGAGGATATCCAAGAGGATAAGGAGGTCTTTCCAGCAATAATGCATGACAACGGTAGAGAAGAGAAAATGAGCAAACTGTAAGGGCCAAATGGCGAACAGGTTAGCTTTCTAAGACGGGACAATCTATGTTAAAGGGTAAAAAAAAAAAAGTCTAAGGACAGTTTACGGAGTGCCTTAAATGGTTATAAATCAAATACGCTTTAACAGACAAGAGGGAGCCTTATGGGTGCTTGTATAATGAGAATAACTCTGTAAGAAGCCGAGATACAGATGGACTGGAATAAAACAAAACTGAGAGAAAAATAGGGAAGCTGCTGCAAAATTTTTTGGGAGAGGGGAAAAAAAAAAAGGCTGGGTCCTGATGCCAGCTCTGCCATTTATTAGCTGTATGATCCTGGGCAAGTCACTGAATCTATGTGTGCTTGTTTTCTCATCTGTAAAATGGGAATAATGGTGTATGCCTAAAAGAGCTGTTGAAAGGATTAAATGAATTAAAATATGAAAAGTGTCTAGTAAGCACTCAATACATTATTATTCAAATATTAACTTGATTAACATATTATTAAAATTCTTCTTATTTCTATGACCTAAAAGTGGTCTGCATGTAACAAAAGGCTCCATCTCACATCTTAGTTTGAAAGGATTGCCGTTGTTCAGTGTGTCCTAAAGAGGTATGCAGGATTCAGAGGACTAGAAGGGAGGCCCAGTGTCCAAGACAACAGCCACTGGTCTCACATGGCAACTGAGCACCAGAAATGTGGCTAGTCAGAATTGAGATGTGCTATGAATATAAAATACACACTGGAATAAAAAAAAAAAAAATACACACTGGATTTCAGAGCCTTGGTACGGAAAAAAAATCTCATTATTTTTCATTTGATTGCATGTTGAAATGATACTTTGGATATGTTACATTAAATATGATGTATCAATTTCACTTGTTTCCTTTTTTTATGTTGTACTAGAAAATTTAAAGTTACTTGGTTGGCTTGATTATATTTCTGTTGTACAGTGCTGGTCCAGTATATCATTCAGCATTGAGTTTTGGAAATTCAAAGGTTCTACATGAGAAGGTCTATAAAGGAATATGGGGATTATGGATAAATCTCTTGCCCTTGTCACTTTAAGAAATATAAATATGTAACACATATTTATATATAATTAGAACACATTTATGTTAAAATGTATATAACCCCAACTCCTGAGTTATCTACAGCACTGACGGAAGGAACCACAGCTAGTTTAAAGAGGCCATAATTGGTAAAGGTCTTTTAGTTCAAAAAAGCAGAAATAAAGATGTAACGGGAAAAAGGTGAAGCGTACCTTATTTTGAACATTAAATTATGGAAACAAAAATCTTCCTAACTTCTGAAATCACTACCTCAAAGGTTCAGATCGCATTGGTTTAAGAAACCTGGATTATTAAAGGTTTTCTGACAAATCTTTTCATAACCATCTCCTGAAGTTGCTACTTAAAATAGGAATAATTACTGCCAAAGAGCCTCCAGTCAGGGCTTTCTGCTGATGTGGAGGTTAAAGTCCAATGTGGGATTTCGCTCTGAATTGATATTTTAACATTTTACCCTGACTCGTACGGGCCAGTTGCACAAGCTTCAACTTCCAAATACTGCTGGGGGTTGGAGGGGGTCCTCATACGCCTTCCCTCTGCTTCTCAAACCCTTCTGGGCTCCTTCCCGCCCGCCACGAGTCGGCACTCCCCAGTGACGCTGACAGGTGCAGCGCAGCGAGCCGCCTCCCGCCCCCAGCACGCGCCCGCGACCCCGCACCCTCTCCCCAAGCCGGCCGCGCCCTCACCGCTCCGCCCCCAATCCCGGCGCGCGCGCGCACACCGGCGGGGGCGCGCCCGGCCGGCGGGGCCGCGCACGCAGCTGCCGCCGCCACCGCCTCCTTCCCTCCCTGCAGGCCCTCCTCCCCTGCCCTCCCCTCCGCCCCCTTCCCCGTAGGCAGCCAGCCCGCCCGCACTGCCTCCCTCCCGGCCCCGAGCGCTCCGGCTGGGTCTCTCCCCCGCCCCCGCCCCCCTACCCCCCCAGGCTCCCCGGTCGCTCTCCTCAGGCGGTCGCCCGCGCTCGGTGGATGTGGCTGGCAGCCGCCGCCCCCTCCCTCGCTCGCCGCCTGCTCTTCCTCGGCCCTCCGCCTCCTCCCCTCCTCCTTCTCCTCCTCAGCCGCTCTTCTCGCCGCCGCCGCCGCCTCCACAGCCTGGGCCTCGCCGCGATGCCGGAGAAGAGGCCCTTCGAGCGGTTGCCTGCCGATGTCTCCCCCATCAACTACAGCCTTTGCCTCAAGCCTGACTTGCTGGACTTCACCTTCGAGGGCAAGCTGGAGGCCGCCGCCCAGGTACGGCGACCCTCGGGCGCCGGGGGCGAGCTGGGGCAAGCAGTTAGGCCGCGGGCTGGGCTGGGGGCCCGGCCCGGAGGGCGGGCGGGCTGGCGGGCCTGGACGCTGAGGGCCTGGGGTTGGCGAGGCCGGCTCGGAGACCGGCGCGCCCCTCTGGGGCTGCCGCGGGGCGCCCGGGCCGATGTGCTCTGCCCTGCTGGGGCCAGTGCCGCGCTGCGGGGAGCAGCGAGGGAGCTGGCGGGCCCTGCCCGAGGGCCCCCCCATCCCCCCAGCCCCGGCGAGCACACCTGTGCGGGGTTTCCCCTCCCCGACCCCTGGCCCTTCTGGGCTTGGTAGTGTTCTGGGCGAGGCTGGAGGCTGTAGGAGGAGGCCAGAGGGGTCATCGGAGTCCACGCTCTTGTCTCAGCCTCCTGACTCAGTTCTTTTCTCTGGTTCTCCCTACGCCCCACGGAGGACACATTGGAAGGGGGCGGTCATCTGGGACTCCGGCCGCCGCGCGTTAGCGAGGAGGGGAGATTCTAGAAGGGGGGAGAGGGTGAGAAGGAGAATGCTAATCCCAGGCAGCCTTGCTGAGTTCTCCCCGCCTGCTCTGGCCCAGGGGCTGGGTTTTCAAGATGATCCGCCCCCTCCCCCTTCCCCTCAAGTGACAGTGCAGCAGTGACTTTGTTCTCTCCTAACCTCTAGAGAAGCTGAAGGAGGACCCCATCTCTGCTTTTCCTCCCCTCTTCCTAGCTTTGCTGCCTGTGAAGCAGGTGGATTTATTGTTACAGCGATGGTTGCTTAGCAGTCCTCTTCTCTGAAAGAAGCTGCTAGTTTTAGCATACCACTGTTGAAAATATTCCATTACTCTTCATTGCAGTTTTTGGTGAATCATGCTCCCCCCCCAACGTTATCTGAAGTATTGTTTGATTTCGGAGACTATTAGTACTGATGCCCTACAAAGGTCCCAAACAATAGACATTTGTGACATACCTTGTTATATGATGTATTATGTGAAGTCCGATGAAAAATGGGAACTATTTAGTAGTTATTTTTAAAGAGAAGAGTGGTAAATATATTGTGTCTTTTTCTACTGTAGTCAGCGAGGAAAAACCAGTAGGCCTCAACCTAAAAGACAGGGTGGATATCGCAGTAAAATGAAAGAAACGTATAGTGTTGGAATGAATTGAAAGTTTGAAGTTGTCTTTGAAAGCTGAGTACTCAGATTGAAATTATGTATGAAAGTGTAGAATTAAAAAGTATCCTGTCATATATGGAGTGCTTGTGTGAAAACAGGAGGGCCCTAGGGTCCGGCTGCATCACAAGGCAAAACTTACCCCTTAGAAAGTCAAGTGATTTAAAAATTTTCCATTAAGAATATGAATCAGAATGAGTCTATCTTCAGTCTAAATTAGGATTTGAGAGGGTTATTTCGCAGACTGTTTGTTTAAGCCAAGTGACTAGAGTGTTTGATATATATTGGCAGGGGGCAGATGGGAGGGATTGTGAACAGTAGTGTGTCTTGTGACTTGGCAAACCTTGGGGAAGAAGGACCTGTGATGAATGAGTTCGCATTATGTGAAAAGACTAAGATGTGAAAAAAAAAATCATTTATTTATTTACCTCATTAGCTGGTGTTCATAATTTTGAGAGATATCTATTTAGGGAAAATTTTCAGGAAAAAAAATTGTCAATAAAGATTTTTAAGTGATTATTAGGAAGTGACGGTTTTACTTAAGTGTTAGGACAGAGCAAGAGGCAATGACATGCTTCTCCTTCCCCCTTTTCTCCTTGTTTTTCCAAAGTGATGAGAAATATGTGGAAGGCTGCTTCGGGCCATTGAGGGAGCACATGGTAATGTACTAGACATGAACAGGGAATTGTTAATTTGGTGTAAGGAAATAAATCTTTTTTAGTTACAGGAGCTTTTCAAAGCAGTTGTTTCCAGAAATTCTTTTCAGGCTAGAGGGCAACACAAATGAAAGATGGTAGTAGAGTGAATTCTAACAGGTTTTATTAAAGAATGATTGGACTTTTTAATTGTACACATTGCCACCTTTGGAAGAATAAAGGAATTCAGGTTGGTGAAAAGTTAACATTACTAAAAAAGCATATATTCATATTTTTGAGATCCATGATTTGGAGCAGTAAGTCTAAACTGTGGCATTATAAGGTATCTTATTGTGGAAATCTAAAAATGTGGACAGGATTGTATCTCTAGAAATCTAGATTTATAACTGGTATTGGGTCAGTTTCCTAACAGTTGGAATCATATTACACAAAGTATACAAGTTGCTTGGTTGCTTGAGTTGCAAAATTTTATGATAAGCCCAGAGTATTTGTACAGGTTACATATTAGAAACTTAGTGGATTTTTAACCTGGTCTGGGGTGTGGACTCCTGGGGAAGGTGTAGAAATTAGTCAGTGTGCACTGACTTTATAAGTAGTTGTCTTTTACATAAGTGTGTGTGGTCTAGGTCAGCAGGTTTTGCAAAAGTGCTACCATGGGCCTAGAGAAATGGGACATTGTCACCCCTCCCGTGCACTCCCCCCTTTACCTCAGGATATTTGAGAGCAATGGATTTTTGTAGCTATTTTGAATTCTGACACTCTTGCTTTGTGGATAATTAGTTAAAAAATAGATAAGATGTTTATGTAAGTGGCTACAATGCCTTGTTATGAGTGCATTGTGGTTTATACAGTAATTGGACTTTCTCTTATGGAAATATTTAACCTGAGCCAAAAAAATTAACTTCATCCTTCAAGGCCAGAAGTCAGGATATAGTAGACAATCCCTGGCCTTTGCCAACAAAATATTCATGTTGGTGATGACTAAATTGGCACTTAGAGGAGAGTTACAGATATAGTAGTTTGTTTGGCAGGCTAAAACTTGGCACCTAAATGGATGTTATTGTCAACTCTGTGTTATGGAATTTTCTGCCCAAATTTTGCATATTTTCTTTCTTTCTTTCTTTTTTTTTTTTTAAGATTTATTTGTTTATTGGAGAGTGGGTAGTATAAGTGTGCAGGGTTAGAGGGAGTGCGAGAGAGAAACTTGAGCAGATTCTGCACTGAGCGTGGAGCCCCACATGGGGTCGATCTCCTGACCCCAAGATCATGACTTGAATGGAAATCAAGAACCCATGCTTAACTGACTGAGCCACCTAGGCACCCCTTGAGTATTTTCTATGCAGTCATTTTGGTTGTTTTTTTATTACTTAAAGAAGTGGTAAAATTAATAATTTGTGCCACATTTTGCTAGATCACTACATGGTCTTAAGAAATTAAATTTGAAAGATTGGTGATAAGAAATTGAACTTGTTTAGATCTTCTGTTGTTTCTTGAAATGTATGTATGATGAAACACCTCAATATAAGAAGCTTTTATATGTTAAGCTTTATCTACTATCATCCGGCAATGAATTTTACAGTGAATTTTCCAGATAAATGAATCTTACCCTTTGAGGCACTTAGACTTTAAAAAATATTTACTGATTTGGATGGAAATATTCCAAAAATGTATTATTTTTTTAAACTCTAGTTCCTTACAATCGAGTCTTGTTTCTTTTCTTCTTTTTAAAAATACTGGACATCATTCTGGATATCTGTCATTGATACCTATAACCACAGATTACCCCAAACTGGGCACTATAATTTGTTAGTTTCATATCTGTTTGTTTTTCTTACTGTTGGGTGATTACTTCTTGCTGCTTATTGTGCTTTGTTGCTGCCTATTGTGCAATTTATTCCCTCTTCTGTCTTACTGAGCTTGATCTGAAGAGGTCTAAGTAACCAGAAAAAAGCTTGTGTGGCCTTAAAAAGAAATTTCTAAGTGTGGGTTTGATGGACTCTCTTCTGAGTGAAGGGAATGAGCTTTATTGTATGGACTTTGTATCATCTATTCTGGCTTTTAAACAGGCTCTTTTTTCTTTTTCTTTTTTTAACTTCCTGGTTCTGGATAATTGATATTGTCCATCAATACAATCTGGACAAATGTGATCTTGAGTAGTAAATTATGAAGCTTCTCTGAACTTTGCTACATAAATGAGCCTGTTCTTATTGTAAAGTAGATCTTATTCTAATCTGTATGTGAGTCAGTGGCAAAGGACCGAGTCTTTTGATAGCTCTCTTGTTAACTGAGATTAATTCTCCAGATCTTGGAGATACAGTTTTGAACATCATTTAAGTATGTAGCTCTTAGTTTATTTGGCCACTTGTAATCACTTTAAAATTTTACTTTAGGGGCGCCTGGGTGGCTCAGTGGGTTAAAGCCTCTGCCTTCGGCTCAGGTCATGATCTCAGGGTCCTGGGATCGAGCCCCACATCGGGCTCTCTGCTGAGCAGGGAGCCTGTTTCCTCCTCTCTCTCTCTCTGCCTGCCTCTCTGCCTGCTTGTGATTTCTCTCTCTGTGTGTCAAATAAATAAAATCTTTAAAAAAAAATTTTACTTTAAATTAGGAAATACTTTAGAAATACAGAAAAGTAACCCACCACACAGATTTAGCATATATTAAAGTTTTCCCCCATTTGCTTCAGACTGCGCCTGATGTTTTTAGGGAAATAAAACGTCACAGATACCACTGAAGTCCATTTCCATCTCTTCCTACCCCCACTCCCAGAGGTAACTTCTCTCTAGGTAGGTGAGTATTATGCCTATATATGTAGTTTTATTGCGTATGTAAGTAGCCATAAGCAATAAACAGCAATGTTCTCTATGTTTAACATTTTTACATTTGGGGTGCTACATTTGACTTTCTGCATCTTGCTCTTTTCTGTATCTCTTTTGTTAGAAAACTTGGCTCAGTTTGTGTTTACTAATTAATTGCTCCTTATTGTCTCTAGAAATTACAGCCCTATTCCACAAAGACAATGATTATTTCAAAATTTTAACAAAATTGCTTGTAAGGCAGAGTGACTCAGGCTTCAGACTGGTGTTTGGAGTTGTCACACTGGAGATTTCCTTTTACTAAAATCTGAGGGCTTTGGTAATCACAGAAAAGCTTCTTGGGTCTTATAGTACCTGTTAAGATGTATTTCTGAGTGATCATAATAAAGACTCATTCAGGAAAAAAAAAATTTCACATTGCTGCCTTCCTAACTCATAGGAAACTTCCATTGTAAAATTGTTACCAGTGGTCAAGCTGCCTCTTCAATAGAGCCATTACTTGGTGTTTGGTTGAGTTGCAGTGCAGTCTGTACAGGGCTCCATGGGGCTCCGAGAGGACTTAACCCTGGGTTTGAAACAAGGAAAGGAAACACTGTGTTCCATTCTTTAGTAGCATCAAATGGAGATGTTGAAAGTGAGCTTGTTATCTACAAGATATATATGCCTACTTTAACATTTTGCTTCTATTTTAAGCTTGCAAACTGTCAAGATCTTAATGCTGAAATTCCTTTGAATTATTACCTGTATTTTTGGTAGTGGAAAGTATCACTAATGGTGATGTTAGATGTGAGAATTCATGTACTGAATCATCAGGTCAGTGCTATTGTGGGGAAAACATAAAAAAGAGCAGTGTTACAGTGTGGCACTGAAGCACTTAAATCTATGTAGGTATTTAAAATCTGTACATGTATGTTGACCTCCAAAGTACTATATAATGTAGCACAAAGCTTTGAAATTTTCTGTCATTCTGATAGACACTTTATAAACTGTTAGGTGAATGCTGTTAGATGATATTTGGAGGAACATCTTTATGATTATAGCACATTTAATCTTGGTCTCTGTGTATGCCTTTTTTTTTTTTTTTTTAAAGTAAACTCTGTGCCCAGTGTGGGGCTTGAACTCACAACCCTGAGATCAAGGGTTGCATGCTTTACCACCTGAGGTAGCCACATGCCCCTCTGTGTGTGTGTCTTAATAACAATATCTATTAACTGATTACCGTGAATCAGGTACTAAGTACTAAAACAAACACTTTCTATCCTGTTTAAAGGACATGGTTAAGATGAGGCAGAGTATACAGTGAGATTTTTTAAAATTTGAGTTCTATTACTAAGATAAGTATTTTTATTCCTTTGGTTCTTCCCTCCCACCCTTCCAGAAATGGCAGCGTCTTGGAAAAAAAAAATTATTAGCTATTCAACAAGCAGCTTAACTCAGTAGTATAAACAGGTGGGTTTCCCCTAAATACAGGAGAAATTAGAATGTACTTGTAAATGGATGTTGTAGACTGTGCCTTTCCAAAGTATGCAAACTCTTTCCCTCAGAATGTTAAGTAGTAGTGAGGTGAATGTCAATTGGCGTATGTAGTGTTGTACAGCTCTCTTGACATTGGCAGATTAACTGCTTGGTTACCATTAAATTCACTGTAGATGTTGTTGGATGAAAATATGCTTGCCTCAGTAGAGATGAAGATGTGTAACTAAACTGCTGTTATTATCCTGTTGGCATAAACTTCAAACTCTGGAAGGTTTTTATTCATTTTTACTTTTTGGAGACACCTCCCTGCAGCCCACCCCAGCCTCATTAAGTGCTTCATTTCTCTGTGTTGCTGAATTTTTTAAAAGTGAATTTATAAATAGGCACAGGGATCTTTTCTGCTTTATTTGTTCAAGTGCAGTGCTATAAATGGCGAGTTGGGACAGAAAGGTTTTGTTACTGTTTAGGAATGTTCCTGATGAAGTAAATGGTGTGAAGGAATATTACCACTTACAAAAATTATTTGTTTATTTATATATTTAAAGATTAGTTTAATTTTTTTTTTAAGATTTTATTTATTTATTTGACAGACAGAGATCACAAGTAGGCAGAGAGGCAGGCAGAGAGAGAGGAAGAAGCAGGCTCCCTGTGGAGCAGAGAGCCCGATGCGGGACTCGATCCCAGGACCCTGAGATCATGACCTGAGCTGAAGGCAGCGGCTTAACCCACTGAGCCACCCAGGCGCCCAGTTTAATTTATTTTTTAATTAAAGATTTTATTTTTAAGTAATCTCTGTATGTAACATGGGGCAAGATCAAGAGTTGCATGCTATATGGACTGAGCCAGCCAGATGCTCCTGCCACTTAAAAAAAATTTTTTTTTAAGTTCATTGAATGACATTTTTGTTTAGAAACAGAAAGATTTATGAAAAAGGATTTTTTTTTTTTTTAAACTAAGCTCTACACCCAGTGTGGGGCTTGAACTCATATCCCCAAGATCAAGAGTCTCATGCTCTACCAACTGACCTAGCAAGTCCCTGAAAAGGATTGTTTTTTAATGAGCCAAAATAGTTTCACATTATATGTTAGCAATTTTTACAGGCTTACTAATATGTATCTGTAACTTAGGTCAGGTAATTTTAGTTTGAGATTAATCGTGTTTATTTATTGGTTATTAATAAAATGATTACTCTTTGGTATAGCTTTTTCATACAGACATTATATTACTCTTGTGTCCTTACCTGGTTCTGTGTTCTGTTAGTGATCTCAAGGCAGTATTGACCTACTGTGGGTTTTGTTTGGACTGCACAGTGTTCTTGCAAATTTTGTGTTAGTTGCCATCAGTTACAATTTGGGAGATGGTACATGAAATCTGAAATTTGTGGCTTTTTTTTTTTTTTTTTAAATCTTTCTGTCCAGTGTGGGGCTCGACTCAGACCCAGAGATCAAGAGTTGCACATGCCCTACCAAAAGAGCCAAGTAGGAGCCCCTGTGGGGTTTGTTTTTGTTTTTTGTTTTTTTGTAGTTGGAAGATCTGTCAATATGGAGTCTGCTTTTCAATATAGCAGTAATTGGTTAGCTCCAAGAAATGACTACTTCTCCTTCCTTTATCCATAGCCTTCCCCTGGCCTACTCTACTCACCTGCTTGGCTGGCCTCTGTAGACATTTGTTTGTGATTTAGGGCATCTGTACTTTTGTTATTTTATTTTTAGATTTTATTTATTTATTTGAGAGGGAAAGAGTGTGTCTGCCCGTGAGCAGGGAGGGACTGAGGGGGAGGGAGAGGCTGAAGGGGATAGAAAAACTATTTTCTTCAAAACTGCCACATTCAGGGGCGCCTGGGTGGCTCAGTGGGTTAAAGCCTCTGCCTTCGGCTCGGGTCATGGTCCCAGGGTCCTGGGATCGAGCCCCGCATCGGGCTCTCTGCTCGGCAGGGAGCCTGCTTCCTCCTCTCTCTCTCTGCCTGCCTCTCTGCCTACCTGTGATCTCTATCTGTCAAATAAATAAATAAAATCTTTAAAAAAAAAAAACTGCCACATTCAGATCTAGAGAGATCTGAAGCGCACTCCACCTTGAGCAGGGGAGCCCCATGTAGGGCTCCATCTCACAACCATGAGAGCATGACCTGAACTGAAACCAATGAAACCAATAACCGAATGAGCCACGCAGGAGCCCCAGATTTTTGTTATTTTAAATTCAGACCATTCAAATGAATGGTCTGAAAATGAATCTGAGGTTCTGTTTAAATGCAGCAAGTATATAAAATCAAGTCTACAACCAAAGTGAAAAGTGGGCAAGGGTTATAAATGAACAATTTGCGGAGAAAAAGCAATGGCTAAAAAAAAAAGGGGGAGAAAGAAACTAAGTAGAGAAGATGCTTACTTAACCAGTGCTACTATTAATCAGGAAAATTCTAATTAAAGCAATGGTGGAATAGCATTTAATACCCATCAGATTGTCAAAGATATTTTAAGTTTTTTAGAGGATGATGAACATGGTATTTCCTTTTTTTTTTTTTTTTAAGATTTTATTTATTTTTTGATAGAGATCACAAGTAGGCAGAGAGGCAGGCGAGAGAGAGAGGGAAGCAGGCTCCCCGCTGGGCAGAGAGCCCAATGCAGGGCTCGATCGCAGGACCCTGAGATCATGACCTGAGTCGGAGGCAGGGGCTTAACCCACTGAGCCACCCAGGCACCCCGAACATGGTATTTCTTCACTTTTTGCTCATGGGAGTGGTAATTGAAACTACTCTAGAGCATAATTGGGATATTCTTGGTAAAGAAAAATATGCATAAGAAAACATGGACCAAGATATTTGTTATAGTACAATTTTAAAAAACAAAAAAGTGGAAATAATCTAACTTCCTTTAGGAAGGAAATGGATAAATAACTGGTTTATTTTTATAATGGAATACTATATAGGAGTTAAAATTAATGAATTAGATCTGTATCTGTCTACATTTACCCATCTCAGAAACAATGTTAAATGAAAAAAGCAGGTGCAAAGGTATTTGTATAAAACTAAAAACATTGCTTACTGATCTTTATATATGTAGCAGAAGTACTATATATACATGATAAAGAGGTACATTAGCCTTATGAGGTGGTTATCTCCATGTAATGAGGAAGCGAGGATGGAGCTTTCATTATATCTATATTTTATTGGGGGGGATCTGAAGTAAGTAAGACAAAATCTTAAAAAGTTTATTTAATCTTGGTGGTGAGTCATTAGTGTCTGTTATATCCAAAATGTTCCCTTGATAAGAGAAAAAAATTTAAAGAGTGTCTTATGAAGTTTTGACATGATTTATGATACCACTTTTCTTCCTCTATCCTTAAAGAAGGTCTTATGATGGGTTTGATGTGTAGGTTGAAATACATAATTAATTGCAACATACAAGAAATGTTTCCTAATTAATTTTTAATTTGGAAAGTTTTAATTGTTTTGAATAAAAGCTTAAGTAGGAAAAAATGCTTTTATTTAGCTCATTGGTCAGATGCTTAAAGTCTAAAATACTTAAGTGTTTATGGTTGCTTTTAATATAATTCGGAAAATGTGAATTGCCTTAGATTACTTAAAACTACTCATTTATTTTTTACCATTGAGGTATAAATACTCAGTCTAGGTTTTAGTGATGTCTGGGCTTAAAAAAATGCCCTGTGCCATACATTAGGCCAAGATGAAGATGTACATGTTATTAATCTTGGCTATTTCTGACACTGCTGGTTTTTCTTTTCCCCTTAGGTGAGGCAGGCAACCAATCAGATTGTGATGAATTGTGCTGATATTGACATTATTACAGCTTCATATGCACCAGAGGGAGATGAAGGTAAGAGCTGTTTTCCATTTAATTTGCTGTCTCTCTGTGTGTATCATGTATGTGTGGTGGCATATACATTTTCAGATTAAGGTAGCAGTGTTTGTTACTTTAGAAATAGGAAACATTTTTAGATGTTCGTGGGAAATATTTTAATAATCTGTACTATGAGATAAAGGAGATGCCACATTCTAATTCTACTTCAAATGTTAACATATTTTGTAACCCTAGGCAGATTACATTTCCATAAATGTAAAATGAATATAATACCATGCATATAAAGCTAAAGAGTTATTTTTTTAAATTAATTTATTTATTTTAGAGAGAGAGAGAGAGAGAGCTTGAGTGGGAGGGACAGAGAGAATCCCAAGTAGACTCTGCACTGACCATGGAGCCCGACGCAGGGCTTGATCCCACAACCCCGAGGTCACAACCTGAGCTGAAACCAAGAGTCACTCGCCCAATTGACCACACCACCAAGGCACCCAAAACTGAAGAGATATTTTTTAAATAAGTGCTTTGAACATGAAAGATTGGTTTATCAAGGTGGCTTAGTTCATATGTGGTTTTCTTAAAGATTTTTTTTTTCCCTCTTGAGCAATAGATTAAAATTGGAATAATAAATCTTATTCACAACTGAGAGAAAAATATTTGTCCTGCGGGATGGAATGTGGAGGTTAGAAGCTAGATGACCAAGTTAGTTACAAAGTAAGAATATGTTAAAAGGAAATATATAGAATGCCTGGGAACTCAATTAGCATCTTCAAAATGAGAACTATTTTAGACCTTGTAATTGTAACAATGGATTAAATTGAGTAGTCTGTTTTGGCCTGAAATCTTATTCCCACATAAGCTCCATTTTAAAAAGTTGTCATGTTTGGCATGAAGTCACAAGTGTATTAATACTGGAACTGAAGTGCTTTTTACTTTTGACAGAATGATCTTTTGGTTAGTCTTCACTACTATGCGACTTCCTGTTAGAAAATTTTTGGTTTGCTATCAGGGTGCCTGGCTGGCTCAGCTAGTAGAGCATGCAGCTCTTGATCTCAGGGTTGTGAGTTCAAGCCCCACTTGGCACGTAGAGCTTACTTTAAAAAAAAAAAAAAAAAAGGAAAGAAAAGAAAAGAAAATCTTTTCATTTGATATCAAATAAGTTAGAAATTTGGCCTTTTAGTTCACATTTTGTATTGCTCTTCCCCCTCTCCTTTACACTGAAAAGAAGCATACAAGTAATATTTTAAGGCCGAGCTGTATTTATTTCATGAATTTTTCTTAAATTATCTTGTCCATAGAATGACCCCCCTCCCAAAAAAAAAGTAGCAGTGGAGCAGAGTATTGCCAAGAAGTACTTATTGTTCAGTTGTTTGTAAATGAGATCAAATTGCTGTGATTTTAAGCTAGAGGAACAGATCCTTCAAATGGACTTTGGATGAGTGCCAACATTAAAAAATTGTTTGGGTAAATGAAAGAGGGGTTATTTAATTTCTTTATCTGTGAAGAAAAATGTAAGCATTTTAGCCAAGCATATCAAGGCAAGCTTGCTCTGTTGTAGGTAGAGAACATTTAAATTTGATGTAGTTTTAAAATGGTGCCACTATAGATAGGAAGAGATTGTAAAATATACTCGCACCCTCCAGTTGGCATGGTTTCAGCTCAGGTTTGTTTTTATCTTCCTCTACTAAAATGCCAGGGAAGAATTCAGAGAACTCAAATGCTTTGAGTATGCATAACTGAATGGTGCCAAGCTCCTAATAGTTAGAATAGCAGTGTTTGTGTTCTAAGAGGGTCAGAAGAGAAAAGAAAGCTTGTAGAAGTGAAGGGGATTTGGAGAGAGATTCAGATAAAACATTACTCTTTTTTAGGTACATAAAATATTTTCTTCAAAACTAGCTAAGGGGTATTTTTCAACTCATTTCTCCTACAGCAATGGGAAAAACCTAGAGTCATGTGTAAGCTCATCTAATTTGAGAGTATAAGAGAATGGAAAATTGTACTAATGTGGCATTTTAAGGTTTCAGTCAGAAACAGTTTTGGCCTTCCAGATACATACACAGTGTAATTTTATCCTTGGGCATAGTAGCATTTCTTGATTTTTACTGTATGGAAGAGTACAACATGTTGTTCTTTAGAAATTAGTAGTTGCAGATTTGATTGCCAGCTCCTTCCAGGGTGGTATGGTTTGACAGGGGAATAACTGAGTCAATAGGAAAGGTACCATTTTTTAACTCGGCTGATCTCCTTTAGTACAGTACCTATTAATAGTTATGATTGCCTTCTGTAAGACCGAGTTACATATGTGTAGCCACTAAATCTTGGTACTTTACAGTAAAATCAGAAAGTCGTTCGAAGGCATGAAATTGTTGCTTCTTTGTGTAAATTTTTAATTGATGAAAAAGAAGCTGTCTTGTGGTTTGTGCAGTGACCCAGAAAGACCTATTGGCGTGTGTCTCTTTAAACTAAGGCACTGCCTTTTCAACAAAAATAACTTATTTTAAAACCTAATTGAGATCTTTGTAATATTTAAAAAATGAGAACTCAGTAAGAAAAACGGCTGAAAACTGTTTTTTTACTGTTCTGCACTTCAAGGGTTGGTGAAATCACTAGCACTTAAGCCCCAGTGCAAGGAGTGCACCTCCCTACACAGTGAGTGCAGGGGTTAGTATTGTCACCAGCTTCCGCAGGAGTGCCTGAACTCAGGTCCTGACAGGTAATGAGACTTTTAATTTATCATTAATAGATGGCTTGGGCATAACCACACGGACATTGATCACTTGAAAGTTTTGTATTAACTTTTCCCTTAGTATACTCTCTCAGGTATGTTTGTAGCATTAGCTGTGTAAGGAAGAAATTTTCCCTGTTCCATTCAAAGTTCTGATTCTAGCCTCAGATCCACCAGCATCACTCTGCCTTATCCATGCAAGGCATGTAAATCTTAACACGTTTCTTCTTGAAACAGAGGTACATTTTTCAGTGTGCAGATGAGCGCATGTTAATGAGAGGATGAAGCAGCTAGTCAGAAATACTGCCAAATAGTAACAATTTTGAGCAAAACTATGAACTTGAGGAATAAGGAATTGTTCCTCACACTCAATCAGAGGCCTTTATCACGAGCTTCAGTAGGCCTTTATAAGCCCATCAGTGATCTATATTCCGTCGTCATGCAGTTAAGTGTAGATTAGGAATAGCAATAAACCACCATCTCTTTGCAAGAGTTGTTTTTGTCATCATTCTGAAAATACATGCATGACTAATTAAGTGCTAGCTCTGAAATGTGGGATATTGAAAGAGAAGAGGAAATATCCATTTCTAATACAAATGTATTGGAATATGATGCAGAATTTCATAAGGAAATTTTAAATGAAAGGAATCAAAGTATAAGTTTAGTAATACAAATAACAATATAAGGTAGGGGGCCTCAAACCAAAGTTACGGTTGGGATTAAGGAAATAACAAACACGAGTGAATTGGACTGGATGTAGCAAAGCGAGAATGTTGGGACAGAGGCCAGACCAAAGAAAGTATTAAAGAATACTTAAATGTATTCAAATTTTAAAGAACTTTTCAGGCCAACAACATTTTTGGGGGCTATAGTGACATCTGTTGAATTTGCAACCTACCAGGGAACTGTGTGTTATGCATATTTTTTATCACTTGGACATGAAGATAAGACTTGAGCATAGCTGTCTTGTTAAAAAGAGCGAAAAGCCTTTTGAGAGTCTTCTAGATTCTTAATTGAAACTGGCATATAATATGCTATATTACTATTTAATATATTTAAGAGATTATTTTAGTTTGCTGTACATGTTCCAGTGGTATATCCTTTTAAAAATTCAGAATACCTCTTTTCAGGAAGCTTTTAAAGTTTTTTGGGCACTACAGTGGCCTTATTTCTGAGCTCTTGTTTTTCTTTTGCCTCCACTTTATTTACAAGTTCTGAGTATATTGAGTTTTGGGGATTTCAAACATAAAGTCTATTATGTGCTATTGTTCTTCGTGTTAATGCATAAGCTAACCACTACTCCGGGCTATATTGAGGAACCAGATGTTTTCCCAGGTCTTTGGTAACTTTCAGGGCATTCTGTTTTCTGAGTTAAATGGTGATTTTATGGGCACCTGGGTGGCTCAGTCGGTTAAGTGTCTGCCTTCGGCTCAGGTTATAATCCCAGGATATTGGGATTGAGCCCCATGTCAGGTTCCTTGCTCAGCGGGAGCCTGCTTCCCCCTCTGCCTACTCCCCCTGCTTGTGTGCACTCTCTCTCTCCCTCTCTCTGTCAAATAAATAAGACTCTTTTTAAAAAATGCTGATTCTATTTTTCCTACTAATAAACTTTATTTTTCAGAGCAGTTTGGAGTAAAAAGTACAGAGATTTCCTCTGTATTCCTTGTCCCACCCACCCTTCTCTTCCCTCATTATCAACATCCTGAACCAAAGTGGTACAATTGTTACAGTCAGTGAAACTTACCTTGGCACCTCATTAACAAAGTCCGTAGTTTACATTAGGGTTCACTCTTGGTGTTATACATGCTGTGGGTTTTGTTTTGTTTGTTTTTTTTAAAAGATTTTATTTATTTATTTGACAGAGAGGTTCAGCGAGAGAGGGAACACAAGCAGGGATTGTGGGAGAGAGAGAAGCAGGCTCCCTGCTGAGCAGTGAGCCTGATGTGGGGCTGGATGCCAGGACCCTGGGATCAGGACCTGAGTTGAAGGCAGACGCTTAATGACTGAGCCACCCAGACACCCCTGCATATAAAGTTTAGAATCAGTTTTTCAGTATCCATGAAATAACTTTCTGGGATTTTTATTGGGATTGGGATTGAATCTATAGATCAAGTTGGGAGGAACTGATGTCTTGACAATATGGAATCTTAACCCATGAACATGGATTATCTCTCCATTTATTTAGTTCTTTAATATCTATTATGAGAATTTAGTAGTTTTTCTCCTGGATCTTACATATATTTTGTTAGATTTATACTTAAGTATTTTGTTTTTGAGTATGATAATGTAAATG